AACTGGTCAACCATCAAGAAATCAGGATATTCTCCGCTGATTAAGCTCCAGCCACGAGGAGAAAACTTATTAGGATGAGGATGGGTTTATCATAATAAAAGGTGCCGATTTTATCAGAGGGCTGCTGGTAAGTCAGATCCAGATGAAGATTCTACTTTGGCCTTGACCCATGGGACATATTTAATGATATACCGAGTATACTTCCTGTTTTTCTCCGTAAACTTCCAGCCTTCCCTCATACCGAAAAGTTGATCCATGTTTCCCCAATCGGCGTCTTCTCGGGGGGCTTCAATGAGTGGCAAGCCTGAGTATGATTTTCTTCCCGAACAACATCATGTTAATGGAGCATTAGCACCTTTTTTTGATATTCCTGTACTTCACAGAGGAACAACATGCTTATTACTTGCTGAACTCCTTGACTATCACCAGACTTACCTATCAGGTTCGCTCGCCCCCATGACTCCCTTTGGAGAAGCCCAGAACATGGATCCATGGATCCAGATTCTGCTCTGGTGTTATGTAGTGGTGTTATCAGTTATCACATATCCCCTCTGGGACTAAACCTAATCTGTGAATTGCCTTTCCTAAACAAGCATAGCCTCAGCTCTTCTTTCCTCGCCAGATTTTAAAAGCGGCAGGTGCGCTTGTGGATTATTCTCTAGACGATCTAGGCAGTTTGCTCAAGGTGGCCTGTGCAAGTCAGACTACCACTTGACTACCAACTGCAATAATAAAAACAATTATAATATGAATGATTGGGTGTCCATGCACCTGATCATACAAAAAAAGGTCGTATCTCTATGTCAAGGTAAACCGGGGCAGGTCTACTTGAATCCTTTGTATTCTTATTCCTCGGAACAATCAGGCTACCAGGGCCCATCACGACTCAAACAAAATCACATTAACGGGGCAGTTTTCAGTTCTACTGCGCGACTACCTTGAGCTATTTCGTTAAGACGAATGAAGCCTCCGAAGCTACCAGTAGAATTTTAGTAGTTTTCACTAAGGGTGACCGGGCTACCTACCGAATCTCTCCTAGGTTAGTATCTAGATCGCTGATCATTATGCAAGATCCTCAATGCTAAGTATTAGAAGGCTTCATATCCCCCTGTACCTCTCCGTAGCGCGAGGTGGCAGATACGTATCGTTTTCCTTGGGCTACAAGCCTCTATCTATCTGAAGATGCTGAAGTACTGAGTAAAGAATTATGGCGTGACTCAAGGACTGGTCACTTGATCACCTGATCACTGTTTCTATGATCCGTTGCTAAATAATAACCAATACTTGAGAATCACCCAACTTGAAGCTATCATTTCTGCTGCAGAGTATGAGAAAACTTAAGGTACATTGCTGCCATTCCTACGATGGAGGAGTCACGTGGATTACATAACCATCCAAAGCTGGTCAACTAACTAACTAGTTAACTAACTATGGAGTAAAGTGCTTACAAAGTCACTCCAGCCAAATTGCGGGGTAGTTAACTGTTAGGCTAAGATGATAACATGACATGACATGACATGACATGGCACAATGGTCATCAACCTCGTCCGCGTCAGAAGGTATTCGGACAGCCAGACAGCTGCATACCTCCGTCCTTACCGCTTCCTTCCTTAGGTATTACCCTATCTAAGGTATTTCTCTACGTACCTAAGAATTTCAACAATCAATCACCCTGAGAATGAGCTCATCTCTTTGGAGCCTCCACCTCCCCCAGTAGCAGCAAAAGCCCCCCCCCATACCATGTTCCATCATCCCCTTTGAAGGGGACCGAGCATTTCTACCAGTATAATCACCAAGTCTCCACTAATCATGAGACCACCTGTGCCTGAGGTCTCCATGCCTCGATCCCGCAAGTCTTCCATCGAACAGCCGTGGACCGATCCCCGCAGTACCGCCCCTGCCACCTTTTTCCTGGCCCGCAGTCATACATCCCACTCGGAGGAGCTCTCGCTCGAAGATTCCAATGTCTCGAAAGAGTATATGTATGGAGTCCAGAGTCTTGCGGACTCTGTTCAAGAGGCCAGCATATCCTCATCTCAGAACATATTCGATCGATCCACTAGCGATAGGCTCTCTTCCGGCTCAGCTGTAGCGGATTTACGGCCTGATATCAGTCTCGACGTGAATGAGAACGGCAGTGAGGATGAGAATGGCATGGATGCGCCAGCACTCGGCCGTCGTAGATCTACCATCAGGCAGTTCGACTCCCTTCGGACAGAGGTCTCTTTGCAGCCGCCGTCAGATCGTGCTTCATCCCGTCCACTAACCCCGCACAACCCCGACGAACCTTCCTCTCTTCCCAGCAGCCCGAAGTCTGTGTCTAATCAATCCATGAAGCACCTCGACGACATTTCCATCACAGACGATCTCAGCAGCCACGCGGTGGGCTCCGAGGATGAGGGCAATGATGCTCGTGAAGCGCCGAATTCGGCTGGATTCGACAGTACATCCCAGCTAATCATGCCTAGCATCAGGATGCCTAGTCGGAGACCATTCACAGATCGGGGAAAGACTATGGGCCGCTTCAAAGTGCTCATAGCTGGCGCTTGCGGTAAGTGAAAGTCGCCTCGCCTTCTGGAAAAGTGAGATCCGGAGTATTGGCTGAGTTGCATCTGACGTACGAGTAGGGTCCGGGAAAACCTCCCTCATCAAATCTATAGTACAGGCTTGTGAAGATATCGTGCATGTCGACCCCTTCCCCTCACCGTCTCCTTCAAACCTGTCAGCTCGCGCGCAGCCCCCAACTACAGCAGCGGTGATCTCGGAAATCTACGCTAGCACCAAACCATACCCTCCGTGGTGGTCAGATCTGGAGGATTCTCGCGTTCTGCGGAGGAGAAAGAGCAGTGGCGATATTGTTCTTGAACGAAATCTATGCTTCGTCGATACTGCGGGCAACGGCTTGAGTAGAGTTGGACAAACTGATGCTATTATTCATCACATTCAGCAACAGCTCCTGCGGGCCACGACGGCCGTGAATTCCTCTAACACCGATTTCGAAAATCTACTCGCTGGCAACGGCGGAGCACAAGTAGACGCTGTTCTCTACCTGATCTCGGAGAGTAAGTGGTCTACATCAAGCTACCTCCATTGCTACAATCGTGCTGACCTTCCAGATACACTTGCCGCGGATATTGAGTGCATCAGGAAGCTCTGCGTCTGGACAAATGTTATTCCCCTTATATCCAAGTCAGATCTACTGACTCCGGACCAAATTGCGACTCTCAAATCGTCTTTTCACGCGAAAGCCCAGATGGCGTCCATAAAACCCTTCCATTTTTGGGATGCAACTTCCGCGGCGGCAGACGGATTCTCGAGTCACTCACCATTCGCCGTCTCATCCGCGAAAGTAGATGACGAAGACGTCATGGATGCTAGCATATTGATGAGCCCAGACTATGTGCAGCCTCTGGCACCCTCCGAACTCTCGCTACTTGTACAAAGGTTGTTCGATCTCGACAACATGGCATGGATCCGACATTCTGCTGCTAAGAAGCTTGTTCAGAGACAACATGACCAAGGACAGCAATGGGAGGTCTCACGGCACAGCACCAACCCTTTTGACGGCCAGAGTACTGTATCCAGATGTACCTCCTCAATCTTCTCTGCTAGTTATCTCGAGGGTATCACGTCTCCGCCTAGCGGACGCTTCCCCAGCTATACCATGGCCCGAATATCGGATTATACACAACGTGAGGAGAAGATGGCCCGCGTACAGTTGGCCAAGTGGGCCTCGGACTTGCAGCGAAGCCTTCAAAATGAACGAGAAAGATATGCGGCCTTGGCCAGAGGAGAAAGGGCCGTCTGGCTCACCGAAAGGCTCGGGGAGTGTGTTGTGGATGGCTCACTGGTGCCGATTACAAAAACCCCCGGATTTTGTGGACTTCGCCTTCCTATGGATAACGCAGGCGGTCGCCTGTTCGTCCGCACTCAAGATGGCAAAAAGATGGAATATCGAGTTACCAGTATAAGTACGCATGATCCCTTGGGTATTGTGTGGTGGTCCGACGACCTCAAACAACGAGGGTGGGCGATTGTCCAGATCGTTGGGAGCCTCGGTGTAGTGGGAGGGCTTGCCTTCTTGCTTGCGAAAACCTGGGGACTATCATCACGCAGTCTGTCTGAGTGGCGCTTTGACTGTTGCAGCATCTGCAATTAAAGCTGGCTGGAAAGGACATCCAGTACTTCATGACGTTCGAAACAATCTGACCGACAATAACGATGCAAAGGACGATTGATCCAAACGATTCCTTTTTCACTTATCCATTTCCGTAATTCGGCGTCAGATTCTGTTTTCATGTCCTTTGTTGATGGTCGCTGGTCTTCATCAACCAATTTCTTCTTCTTTGGCATCTCTATTCAATATACATATACATGGATGTATGGGAAGCAAATCTCGGTGTTTTGGGGTGTCTAGGTCGTCAGTTCTTCTAACGCATTTCACCTTGCCAGTCCAAACTTCATATCCACTGTATTCTGTGGTGCTACATATCCTCTCATCTACTCCCGGAAGACGTATGTACCATCGTGACCCCCTGTTCTTATAGGCAGTCCTAGGTAGGGCTCATGTATGCTATCCTTGATGCGGGCTGGTTCTTCGTAGAGCGTAGCGAAATTCCATGCCATTCATTGATAGAGGTCGAATCCAAGAACTTCTGCAGGCGCAGACCAATATTCTACGGTATTGAATATGAATGCAAGTGAACGAGAATAAAGCTTTTATTCCGATGAACTATTGGTCTACCTGACTGAAAACGCTCTCACGATCTTCAAACGAAGAAACATTAAGAACCAAATTCAAAGTCGAAGTACCTTGAGTAAAAAGAAGAACGCTCAAGAACGCCATTTGTTGTAAATCACCATCATCATTCAGGATATACCATCTCCTGCCGTTCCCATCAATCGAAGAAAGCAATATCGTTCAGTGATTAGTCCTGATGCAAATACCGCTGGAACAGGGTTGAAAAAGGTCGTAAAATATTACATTAGAGCGTAACCGTCTAGTCAACCTCCTCCATGGCGCTCTCGCCAGTGGTGGCCTCGGCAGGAGCAGCCTCCTCGGTGGCCTTCTCCTCGGTGGTCTCAGCCTCCTCATCAATGTTCAGACCAAGAGACACGAGCTTGTGAATGCGCTCAGCGAAGCTGGCAGGCTCCTCGATGGTGAAGCCGGAAACAAGGAGGGAGGTCTCGAAGAGCAGCTGGGTGATGGACTTGACAGTGCGGTCGTTTTCACCGTCGGCCTCAACCTTCTTCTTCAGCTCCTTGATGATAGAGGACTTGGGAGAGATCTCGAAGGTCTTCTTGGAGGACATGTAAGAGCTCATGGAGGTGTCACGCAGAGCCTGAGCCTTCATGATACGCTCCATGTTGGCGGACCAACCGAACTGGCCAGTACGGATAGCGCAAGGAGAGCCGACGAGCTTGTGCGACACGACGACCTTCTCAACCTTGTCGCCAAGGATGTTCTTGAGGCTCTTAGCCAGGTTCTCATACTCCTTCTCCTCCTTCTCGCGCTCAGCCTTCTCCTCCTCGGTCTCCTCGAGCTCGAAGTCCTTGGTAATGTCGACCAGCTTCTTGCCATCGAACTCCTTCAGCTGAGTGAAAGCGTACTCATCGATGGGGTCAACCAGGAACAGGACCTCAAAGTTCTTCTGCTTGAGGCTGTCAAGGAAGGGAGACTTGGCAACAGCCTTGATAGACTCGCCAGTGATGTAGTAGATCTGCTTCTGGTGCTCAGGCATGCGGGTGACGTAGTCGGCGAGGGAGGTGGCCTCGTCACCAGACTTGGTAGACTGGTAGCGGAGCAGCTTGGCAAGAGTCTGGCGGTTCTGGGCATCTTCGTGGATACCGAGCTTGATGTTCTTGCTGAAAGCAGAGTAGAACTTGTCGAACTGCTCACGATCCTCAGCAATCTCGTTGAAGAGCTCAAGCGTCTTCTTGACAATGTTCTTCTTGATGACCTTCATGATCTTGTTCTGCTGCAGAGTCTCACGAGACAGGTTGAGAGGCAGATCCTCAGAGTCGACAACACCCTTGATGAAGCCCAGCCACTCGGGGATGAGGTCGGTGGCGTCATCAGTGATGAAGACACGACGGACGTAGAGCTTGATGTTGTTCTTGGTCTTCTTGGTCTCGAAGAGATCGAAAGGAGCACGCTTGGGAACGTAGAGGATAGCACGGAACTCAAGCTGACCCTCGACGGAGAAGTGCTTGACAGCGAGATGGTCCTCCCAGTCGTTGGAGAGGGACTTGTAGAAGGCGGCATACTCCTCCTGGGTGATGTCGGCAGGGTTGCGAGTCCAGATGGGCTTGGTCTTGTTGAGCTCCTCCTCCTCGATCTTGCTCTCCTTGACAGTCTTGGTCTTCTTCTCCTTCTTCTTCTCCTCCTCCTCCTCGTCGACCTCCTCGATCTTGGCCTTCTTCTCCTCATCCTCTTCCTCCTTGGTCTCCTCAGCCTCCTCGTCAGGGACCTCCTTCTCAGTCTCCTTCAGGACGTGGAGGTAGATGGGGTAGGAGATGAACTCGGAGTGCTTGCGAACAACCTCCTTGATACGACTCTCGTTCAAGTAGTCGGTCTGCTCATCCTTCAAGTGCAGAATGATCTTGGTACCACGGCCGAGCTGCTCACCCTCGGTATCCTGGGTGAGGGTGAAGGTGCCACCAGCGGCAGACTCCCAGATGTACTGCTCATCATCATTGTTCTTGGACACAACGGTGACGCGGTCGGCAACAAGGTAAGCAGAGTAGAAACCAACACCGAACTGACCAATCATGGAGATATCAGCACCGGCGGAGAGAGCCTCCATGAACTGCTTGGTGCCAGAACGGGCAATGGTACCGAGGTTGTTGATCAAATCCTATGTAGACATGTCAGTCAATCTAATTACTGCAGTCAAGAATGCCGGAGTAAACTTACAGCCTTGGTCATACCAATACCGGTATCACGAATGGTGAGGGTCTTGTTCTCCTTGTCGGGGATGATGTCGATGCGGAGGTCCTTGCCCGAGTCGAGCTTGGTAGGATCCGACAAGGACTGGTAGCGGATCTTGTCGAGGGCATCGGAGGCGTTCGAGATGAGTTCTCGCAGGAAAATCTCCTTGTTGGAGTAGACAGTGTTGATGATCAGCGAGAGAAGCTGAGAGATCTCAGCCTGGAATTCAAAGGTTTCAGAAGACATGATGGCGGAGGAAGAGCGAGATATGAGAAATATGGATTCTGATGTTTGACAGATTGTTAGCTAGGCCGCCTGAGAATCTCAACTTCTATTTATCTGAGGCAGTTGGGGGGGTAAAAATTGTCCAAACTGAGGGGCAACGGAGGAGACTTACATAAAAGGTAAATAGGTGGATTCGTGAAAGAGCGGTAGGTGGAGAGGTAAGCAAACGTTTGCAGAGAGATGAAGCGAAGGAGTCAAAGGGGAGAGAGGAAATAGGTTTGAGAGTGAGACTTTTGAAGATTGGAGAACAAGATATGACTGAGGAGAGAAGTAAAATAGCTGAAGGGGGGGATGGCCGACTTAATGTTTTCTGGGCTGAGGGAGACAAAATTTCGATGTGGTGTTTCTACGGCAATCCAGCAACTTCCATGCTGTCCGCTGTTCCACTGGTCGAGCTTCCAACAAGGTTCCAGCGCTTTCTGACGAGCTGGAGCTTCTCTTTGCCCCTGTCAATCAGGCTGCTGATGGTATCAGGGGATCTAGAAGCTTCATCCGCATCCTCTTTCATCTCAATCTTGGCTTTCTCTTGATTCCGTTTTCGAACTTCCCCGTCCGCTGAGACCACATCTCAGCGATTCTATATTTCTGACTTGCCTGACTGCCTCAGGCTCCTAATCTAGAACGTTCCGCTCCACTGTCTGGACACTCGCGGAACCAATCACAAGGCTGCATTGTATACCGCTTCTCCAGGTCCCCCAAAACAGCTTGTCCTCCTCAGAGTCTCCGTACACATGGTCCTTTGGTGAAACCAAGCTCTTTCTAACAGTGAAAACAAGACTGTCATCGCCACTAGGTTCCTTGGAAACAGAGCTTGCCGCCTGAAGAACTTTCACAGATTCTGCTCTGTTGCTTGGACTGTCTGGGGGTTTACCCGGGCAAATTGCATCTTCATCTGACCTGTCAGACTCATCGAGAAAACAGATAACTGGGCATCTGAAACACTCTTCTGTACAGCCATCTGACATGTCCAGCATGGACCACAAGGAAAGGACATTTTATGATCATCTAAACGAGGGATCGTCTTGTACCTAGTCAAGGTCTCTACCTTAAGCATCGGCTCAACAATGGCGGAATATCCATTATTATTATTACCCACCCGGCCAATGCTGCTCGTAGCGAGAGCACACCTGGCCTGCTCTCGACTCGTAAGCTATGTAGTCCAAGGCCATTCCTCACTGGTGAACCGGCTCGCCACCTATTGCAACCCCAATGAACGGATAAGCATATCAAACCATGGAGACAGGAATAAATCATCCATTTACACTTCATCAACTCGAGAAGATAGACCAACAAAACACGCATCTGGAAAAAAAGGGCACTCGAACTAGTGAAAGGATAAATAAGTAGAGGACAATCAGAACAGTGTTGGCCTTCGAGCTCGCTATGCTAGAAAAGGCAAAGAGAAAAGGCAAAATAGGTCATGAGAGTACAATGATAGGAAATAGAAGTCATATATCAAATGACCAAAGAAACCGGGAAAAAAGGAGTCTTCCCAGTGAGGAAATGACATAAGAACTTTTCCAACCGCTAATATGCAGTGTGATAGAGGGGGCCACATAACACATGGATGTCATTATGAGTAGATGTGAGTAATACATGCCCTGGAATCATCGTAGCATCTCAACCTGATATGCTGCTTTGGACCAGGAGGAAGGGTTAAGAATCGTGGAAGGTAAAAAGAGAATCTTCAACAGACCCCTTTAAGCAGTCTGAGGCTGGTTGCGGGGCTTGCCGTTCACGTTTCCTCCACGGCCACGGGGAGCAAAGCCGCCACGACCGTCGCGCTGGAAGCCACCACGGCCCTGGTTGCCAGCACGGTCACCGCGGCCACGACCTGCGCCACCACGGCCAGCACCGTAGTTAGCATTGCCGCCATAAGCGTTACCGCGGGGACGACGTTCTTCAACGAATATTTGTTCGGATCCGATTTGATGAGGGTTTGCAGCAACGGCAGCTGCGTAACCGGCAGGCTCCGCAAACTCAACGAAGGCGCAGTTCTTTGCGAAAAACAGTCAGGTCAGTTCGGATTATCTTCAAAGCGTTGAAAGTCAATGGTCAACATACCTTCTGGCGGCTCACGTCAAAGTACTTGAGCTTTCCGAAACGAGAGAGAGTCTGCTTGAGCAAGCTTGCATCAACCTTCTCATTGACATTCTTGATGTATGCAAGGACGTTCTGCTCTTCGGCGGTACGAGATTGGGTCTTCTTATGATCGTGACCAGCAGTTTGCCAGCCAGCACCGTCAGTGGAAGTCGGTTGCTCTGGAGTGATTTCAGCGGCGGCAGCTGCAGGAGTAGAAGCAGCAGTAGGAGCAGGCTGAGACGGGGCAGGAGCAGGGGAAGGCTGAGATGCGGCAGGAGCAGGAGTAGGCTTAGGCGGGGCAACGGGAATAGCAGGGACAACAGGAGCTGAAGCCCCAGATTTGGATGCAATGGTGGCCCAGGTCTTGGGAACAGCCTTTGCTGGAGTAGCGGTCTCCTTTTCAGGCGCAGGAGCCTCCTTCTTCACAGGCTCAGCTGGGGTGGGCTGAGGAGCTGCGGGCTTTTCTGGCGCCGCAGCTTCAGGCTGAACTGGGGCAGGAGCTTCTTGCGGAGTCTCCGGCTCTTCCGCAGCAGCTCCGTTGACCTGTGCTGGTTCGCCATTCTCCTGGGCCTGCTCAAGTTTCTCGTCCACTTGAGCGACAGCAGCTTCGTTAGTGACCTGGGTTTCGGTCACTTCAGGTGCAGCCTCAGCAGCGGCAGGTTCCTCAGCAGGCTCCGCGACCTGCTCCTCAGCAGGGGCTGCGGCAGCGGAGGGGGCTTCAGCCGGAGCGGCCTCCTCAGTTACAATCTCCTCCTCCTCGTCGACCAAGTACCGGAAGATATCATTGAGAACATAGTAGCCGTTGGGCTGCTCGGCGAGCACGAAAGTCTGCACAAACTTCCGGGACGGCTCGGAATTGTTGGAAATTTCACCAATGACGGAAATCAGGATGTTGTCAAACGATGCCTGAGAATCGACGTTCAAGACACGAACTTTACAGTCCTGGAAGTCAAGCTGCTTGAATTTCTCGTTGATTGCCTACGCGGATGGGTAGTCAAATTAGCAATGCTCTTAGGGCGCAACTAGTCCGAGGCGCATCGAACTCACCTTCTGGCCGACTGCGACAGGAACCGACTCTGCCTCGGTACCAAAGACGAGCTGCGACCGCCGGGAGTAGAAGAGGTGTAGCTTCTCCGGGCTACGGCTCATGTTGGTGTAGTACTGCTCAACGAAGTACCACCCAACCTCATCCTTGGATATTCCATTCTTCTGGTCGTTAGGAGGGGCATTGGTGGGGGTAGATGACTGCGCTGGTTGAAAGTTGGACACACTGGTCACGGCAGTATGGGCGTGGTTGTAGGAGTCAGGATACGCATGTTGCGCGGGGTAGTTGCCGTTCATAGGAGGCTGGGTCGTGTCGGACATTGTGTAAGATGCTGTGGTGGGAGACGAGTTGGAAAAGAGGTCTTGGGAGGCCAAAAGTATATGGACAATGGCAGAAAGCTTCTATGCGACGAAAGGCGACAATAAGTGAAGTAAGAGGAAGAAATCTAAAATGAGATAACTTTTCCTCTTCGTGGCTCGTCTGTTGATTGCGGAATTGCGGGTTAGTAACGAGCAGACTAGATAATAATGTATTTGGTGGATGGGAATTTGACAAAAGGCCAGGAGTTATGATGGATACCCACAATGCTAGATGCAAAGAAAATAAATGCAGTAGCTCAGATGCAAGTCAAAGAAGAAGGAAAAAGAGTACTGCGACGGGTTCTGTAGGTGGTCGTATGTGGTGGTCAAAATAAAGCAGAACGGAGAAGAATCTGTGCGATTTCCAATCAAGTTGGCGATTAGACGTCAATTGGGAAAAGCAACGAAGGATTTCGAAAGGTGAACAGATTGAAAGCTCAATGGAGGGAAGAGGGAGAAGAGAGTCAGGAGTCTGCCGAGGGAGGTTTGGAGAAGAAAGAAATTGAAGAAATCTTGCGGAGAGAAGCTAAATAAGAATGAGTTGTGGGTGGATGGTGAGGATGATGATGCCCCGGGATGGAAGAAGTTGCTTTTTTGCTTGTCTTGTCCAGCTTAGTTGGGGGAGTGCAAATTCGCCTTCTTCACAGCCAAAGAAAAAAGAGTGCCCCAATCTGTTTCAGTGCTTGCTTCACCGCCTTCCCAATGTGCGCTCCGCTTCCGTCAGCCTGATGATAGTCCGTAGTACTCACGGAGTCGTGATAGTATTGTATTGAATGAGCCTCACAGACGCTTTAGGCTATATAGGCGCTTGTAATCGTGTTTTATATATGAGCTCATTCACTCAATGACAACTCAGTGTTATATGCACAGCGGAAGGTCCATTGAAGAACAAACAAAGCGGAGGGAATAATTACAGTGCCATTCACATCTGTTCTATTGACAGTCTCAAAGATAGTCGCTCATCAACCATGACATGGATATACAAGCACAGATGAGAAAAGATTAGGAGAAGAAGGGCAGAATACGATGAATCAACAAAAATCTAACAATCAATCAACAATCGTAAACACCAGAGAACGCGTCAAACAAACTGATTCGAAAAAGAAGGGGGTATGTTGGACATGATATGGTAGAGAACAGGTATCACACTCGTTTACAGATTTCGTCATGAAAAAGTGGCAGACGGCCAAAGCGTATAGCGCAGGCATATCAAAAGCAAGCTTCGGATACAAACGATCTGAGGGGAGAAGATCGAAAAGGGAAAGCCAGGGCTTTCGGATGAAGAGCTTAAGCTGCTGTGGTCTCCGAAGCAGCGACCTTCTCATCTAGAACGGGCTTCCGCATGACGGCATCTTGACCAGTCATTCGTCGCCCCAGTGCGCGTTCCACCTTTGCACCAAGGGCCAGCTTGCTGAGGTTGTCGCTTTTCTCTGGTGTAGGGACAAAACGTTGTTTCAGAAGGGGTTTGTTCTCTAGACGCTCGAGGCCATCGCGCAGGTGGTTGAACTCAGCCAGTCTGGGATCACCACTAGGTAGGCTTCCGATGGTCTGTTCCGATGGTGCAAGTGATGGGCTACCGCTCACGGTCGAAAATCTTTTGGACGTGCGATTCTGCGCCGGGTTAGACGACTCCCTCGAGGCGAGACAACACGCAGAAATGGAAAAGCGTAAAGAAACTTACAGATTTGGCCATGATAGGTCGCTCCGAGTCCAATGAGGGTTGTCTGGCCATTCTGATGGTATAGTTCTTGGTGGTTTGGATTGTGGGTTGTTTAATTGAGGGAGTAGATACTAGTGTATTGCTCTCTTGGTCGAAAAGAGAAAGACTTCGCAGGATTGCACTATTTTCTTTGAATGCCGCGCGAGTCAGTCAATGTAAACTGGAAACAAAGAAAATAGATATGACTTGTAGGGATAAGAGATAGAGAGAGAGAGAGCGAGAGGCAGAAGGAGGAAAATATATGACTGATTATCATTACTGATAGTAAAAACTCATAAAGGGACGACGAGACTCCGGTATGGAGGGTTTAATTGACAGAACCAGAAAGTAATGGTAAGGATCCCATACCTAGGAACCTAAGCAGTCAGGTATTCGTGCGCTGCTCAGTGACAACCGATCTAAACGAGACGGAAACCCTGGGTAGAGTGGGTTATTGTGGGATGACAATGATCTCCGGGAGTTTGTATGAGGATGGGATACTCCGTACTCTGGCTGGTTATTATTATATTAAACCAGGGGACTTCGTAGAACAGGCAGGCCAGAAGTCAGAAGTCAGAACTCAGAACTCAGGAGAGCTGGGGATGAGTAAAGTGGATGAGCCGAGTGGGTCAAAGGGGGGGCGCAGAGAGAAAGTCAACTTACAGTACTAAGGCACTTCCGAAGCTGTAAGATATCTACGGAGTTACCCAGGTCGGCATTAGCTTTCTGCATATGATTACCCAGAAGTTAGATGTAGATCAATGCGCTGCAAAACTTTTCCAAAAAGGAAACTCAAAAATTAAGGCGATTTTGAAATCGGAGGCATCATATCAAGTATGAGGTCCAGGCGCATCCCTGATGGAAGAATAGAATCAGCCCATACGCGGCAGCCTACAATTTCAACGGATTTTTATCTGATTTTTTTGCGCTCGTTTTCCCACTGTTGGGCGCAAGACACGATCACCTGTTTGAAAGCCTCCTCCCCATCTTCTAGTCTGCAGGAGATTGTTTTGCATCAGCTTCAGTGCATGACTCTAGTTATGGTGAAGAAAAGATATTCCAACATCGGACTGATGATCATGCTCTAGCCATCGTTGTAATGGTGACGGCATAAGGATTACCTTACCTAGGGTGAGGCCATCCAGTACTTCGGTACTTTTACTCCAAGGTTTTCTCCACGTGCCACATCCAGTTGATAGTCCTGACTGCCACGCGAGATGATCCGTTGAGGTTTCCAATCATCTAGTGTATTTTCTTTTATCCATGGTGTCGCACCAGAATTTAATAAGGAAGGTATGTCGTAAGAGGTTGAACCTATTGCTCTATATAAACTCTACGCTACAACCATGATATCATAGTGAAAAGCATCGCTACAATACTTCTTTCCACCCCGGATATCGCTCTTAAGCCAGTGGATCAGATATCCACATGTGGACATGTTCCATATGGTCTGTACTTGCCACAGTCAATAATGATGCAAGATTGATAGAAGTGCATGATTTCGGTACTCTGCATTGCAATTTGGCTACTTCAGTGTCACAATGCCCACTGGCTATTCGCTATGCTCTATTGAGTGTATCCAGTACTGTGAGACAACAAGGAGGGATATACAACGATTGTAGAGCACATCATGAAATTGAAAAAGGTCTCCAGCAAGAGCCAGTGTCGTATTATCCATGGATAAATTGTCGAGACATTTTGCATCAAAGTGCCTGTAACCCAAGCGGTATTAAAGGCGGTACATCATAATAACAGCAATACCCGTAAATCTTGGCCCCTCCATCCAAATGGGAAGAAAAACGTCTGACCCAGCAACCGAGCTCGAGAACACCTCGCTAATAAATTTACACTTGGTTATTTACCAACGAAAAGTGGCGCATTCATTGTCCAACTTGCTTACATCGTCCCTGCATGATCCACCGGAATGCCGAAACCCAAGGCTTTTTTGAAGGAAGCTAAATCCAAGAAAAAAGCGCGAGTAGTTGTATCCTCAATCATATGGAGCACAACCATGCAACTGCTGATATCCAACAGGCGCCAGAGACTGCTGACGAATTTCTAGCGGGTAGGTAATCCTGTGCCCGTCCGCCGAGTACAGTCTAGTCCATACCTACTCTCGAATGTTACCCTAATTCGTCTGATCTTGTCCAGCCGGGGTCGAACAGGAAGAAGGTGGGGAGAAATGGCGTGCTGGCGATGCTGCCAAATCCTTGCGCTTTTTCATGCGAGCAATCGCAATTTATGATGAAGGCTTGCAAAAACATCCTAAGGCGTTCGACCTGGCCTATAATAAGTATGTCTGAAGCAAACAATCCTTCCGCTGAGCAGCTAGACGGCTCTTCCATTGATATGCTCAACGGGAGAACATACGTTCTATACTGACAGCTCTTAGAGCACGTCTCCAATATGAAATCACCCAACATCCTAAATTAGTTGCCCAATTACCAACTCCATTGCTGGATGCCTTGCAGATAGCGTTACGGTCGCATAGGGAGGCCCTCAATCTGGAACAAGACAACGCAGATGCACTCTTCAACAACGCGCAAGTGCTCACGAGTCTTGCGGAAGCAGCTACCGACACAAAACACCCATCCGATGAACAGCTCTCGGGAGCAATCAAGCTTCTTCAAGAGGCCATAGAACTTTTCCAACGATGTCTCGTGCTACAAGAGTTGCGGTACACCGAAATGCAAGAGCAATTGAAGCAGATGGAATCTGGGTATATGGGTCCACCTGAGGAGGAAATGAAGCAGGCTCAAGAGGCTATGGATATTGCAGGCCAATCGGATCCTTCAGAACCGCAAGAGCAATGGGCTGCAGTTATTGAGCCAGTGACCAAGAACACTCTCGTTGATACGGCCGTGGCGCAACTGGATACCCTCACTACACTCAGCAACCTGCTCACGTTTAATCCCGGAGTGGGACTTGCTTGGGTTGAAGAGTACTCTTCCGATCTCCTGCAGAGGATTCCGGTGTATCTCGAGGGGTCAGAGAGACAATATGAGGCGTCTTTGGCTCGAGCCAGGTTTGTATGCGCCTTGAACGAGCTGGTCTATCGCAGCGGAAGGATCGAGGTCGAGACATACCACAGAGAAATCACGCGTGCCTTTGGACCAGATTTGGACATATCTACCGATCCGGACGGTCTTTGCAGTAAAGCTGATGCGCTTACCTCTTTCAACACTGCACTCACTGACCTCCCGCCTTCCCATGACGCCGAGGCATTTGCGAAATCATTGCACTTGAGATGGCAATCGCTATCAACTGCACTGGACGCATTGACCAAAGCTTCGAAACTCCCTGACGCAAACAACCTGCCGAAAATTCATTTGGCCAGGGGAGACGTAGAGATGCATAGGTGGAGGCTCGGATTGGCTCCATGGGAGTACGCCGTAGCGGGACAAAACGCCTCGACACTACTGCAAAACGCTCAAACGTATTATCGAGGCGCTGCAGCCCTAGCAAGAAGAGACGGGGCTATGGAAGAAACAAGAGATGGGACATGCAAAGAGGCGATCGCAGCCGCTCTGGGAGGCCAGAAGGATAAACTGGAACAGCTCAAGGCGGCCGCCCCTAAAGAGCTGACAGCTGTTGCTCAGGACGTGGTGGAGGACGGTCTGTTGGCTCCCGTGGATATGGAGACTTTGTTGTCGTAACCGATCATAGGCACCCATTCATGAATCAGAAAAGTAACCTTTTGTCGCTTGTACAAGGTGTACAGCCCCCTGGAGCCTGTTCATATCTCTGACCTGGCCTTGACTTCTTCGTCCATCTTGAATGCCTCCTGGCGAAGGTCATTCTCTTTGCTGAAATGCGAGGCTGCAGCCGCAGCACCTTCTACGTCAGCGACAATAGACTCGAGACTCGACAGTAGCCTTTCGATCTCCGCTCTTTGGCCTTGTATATGTTGGGCTAGCTCTGCGTTCTCAGCTTCGGTTGCCTGGATTCTCGCGTTCAAAGATGATTGGGCTTCTTGCAGGTAAGGTGTCAGATGCGCGCGATATAGTTCGTCCGGGGTTAAGGTATGCGGACTATATCCAGTATCAAATGGTTAGCAAACCACTAAACCGAGAAACAACCCGTATATCAGCAACTAGAGACATACGCTACACGACTTTCGCCTTGACCATTGTCCCTCCTATGCCTCGCCTCCCCGACCAGCCGATCGAGCTCATTCAGATGCCTCACTGCATCACGTTCATGGAGGATATCGTCAAACTCCGCCTTCGCGCTCTCCTCGAGCTTCGCGTTCAGTTGTCTCCATACCGACTCCAGACTAGCAGGGACATGTTTCGCAGGTGTCGGAAAGCACCCTGAAAAATTCGCGTATGAATTTGCGCGCAATGTTCGTGCGAGGGCCTGGCCGAAAACTTGCTGTAGACGCGACGCGCGTGGTCCTGGAGTGAGAGGGACAGGAGCCGGAGGAGGCGGGGAAGGTGAAGCTGCTTGTCGTGGGTGATTGGCATTGGTAGATTGAGTATCTTCTGCCATTTTCACTTCGATGCGATTATTCTTCTTGTGATCTTGCAAACAGGTTGGTCCGTCCGAGCGATGTTGAATGTGGGGTGTGGGACATTGAATCTACGAGGAAGGGGTACGTGATAGACACGTGACTTTTGTGTAGATATCCACACGTCGGTCCGTCCGACATAGATTTCTCTGTTCGCACACAGGACCAGACATGGATTTTATGGCATTAACAAAAGACAATATCAAACTACAGAAAATATGCGGGCAGCCATTACTATACAAAACAGATTAACCCGTCAACGCCCGAGTGCTGTCGTTCCCATGCGAATGGAGACTTCCGACAGCCCCATGTCCAGTAATTATGTGTTGGGATGGGCCTCTATGCACGGAATTTCGCCATTTGATCTTCGCAAAAGCCTCTTTGAAAGCAGGCCAAGAGATCGATATATAAATGATACTATTCCAGAACCCTTGCAGCGGAAGGACGAAACTGGACGTATAGTTCATGCCGAAGTTGAAGTTGCGCGGATAGATCAGCGCGTACAATCTGTTGATCGTGGAGGGTACCTATTCCAAGTATCATTATTAGTCAAGTCTGTTACTGACACCACTGCTGCTGATGGTGAACTGACCCATGTGACAAGCAGTGCGATGAAGAAAAGCATCGCATATTTGGTATAGGCCCAGGCGGCCGAGTTCACGTCTCTCGCCGTCGCGCGACGCTGAGCGTATGGATCCTGCTGACTGCTTCTCAACGTCCGCATTGGCACATGCTCGTCGTTGCCAGACGCGCTGCCACCTTCTATGGTTACGGAGTAGGGCGAGTATGGGCTGAGGTATCGATGCGGTATATGGCTGGCACTCGTGATGGTCAATCGATTGGATTCACTTCCAGAATGTGTGATCTCGCTGGTGACGTGTATCTCTGTCTTTTTGGAAAAAGCGGGCTCCATAGGACTGTCAATTTCGCCGCAAGACTCCGGACACTCAGCCTCCTCGAGTTGCCGTCGTTTCTCGAAAATCACTTTGCCAGCACGCAGATAAATGGCAAATGTCAGGAAAATGACGAACCAGACTGGACCATAGAAGACCGCAATGCGAAGAAAATCCCAAGGGCGCGACACCCAGCACCAGAGCTGTTAAGCGACGACGAGTTAGAGGGTGACTCTGTATATGACTGATTCCCCTACGACAAACGTTGCACTTACTATGGCTGAGCCGTAAACCTTTCCCCGAGCCTCGGTTTCTATGAAGAAATAAACGAATGCCGGAATGAAGGGGGGGCCATAGCAGAATAGCACGTATTTCCACTCGAGTTGTCGCAGCTGTTCTGAGTTATATTTGTGGAAGAATGTCAAGTAGACATTGCATGCCATGGCAAGAGTCCACAACGCATCAGCGGGCATGAACCTGCGACATGCGAACAGCAACCATCAGTATATGAGTTATGAGCACCAGATACCGGCAATTTGACCGAGCTACTGACCATTGAATCAGAAACGCCTGGAACTGACAAAGGCAGCTGCTTGTCCCGTAGGCGATGCCCGACTGAGAGATCATCGTGGCTACATTTGCCATGATATTTCCCCATGACGCATAAAATACGAGACGATTGATCGGCTTGCGAAAGGATCTAGATGAGAGGAAAGAGATGACTATGATACTTGTGCCAGCGAGAGAGACTGCAGAGCATATGCGTTCTGTCGTCGATATGGCGAACAATTCTCGCTGTGTGAGCGACATATCGCCAAGCACATGCTGATCAGACTGACCACTATCGAAGGATCTTCACAGATTTATGCAAGGAATGGAAAATAGGTAAAAAGGAATGAGAGGGGTAGCCAAGGAAGAAAAGACGGAGAAGAGAGTACAGTAATAGGTACGATCCAAGATCGCACCAGAGTCTGTGGCACACTCGGGCGATGGAGGCGAATCGACTTCTTGGGAAACCTACTCCATAAGTGTGAGTGAGTATCAAGACTTTGTTTAGAGTTTGTCGAATCAATATTCGACAGGTCCCTTCAGGATTCAGGACTCGGCCCTTATGGCTAATATAGCCACTGCTCCGCAGGGGGCTATTGCCTGCTCACATGCTTTTGTCGAAGGAAGACAAACCATGTTCGATACCTAATAATAATGAATTTCGAGGGCTACCAATAATAGCAGAGGGAATGCTTGTCGCCAACGGAGCCGGAACAAAGCATGAAACGATTCAGTCTTCTAGATTCTTTCGACTCGACCAATGCCAATTCAGAGATTCGGCTGCTAAGCATATGCTGCTTTTCTCATTCTTCTTCCATGTGGCCCGGTGGAGCATGGGAGATTTGCGGGGAGGTTGATCCCGGAGTCTGTCCTCTGTACCTTTCTCGTATTAAGATTTGGTAGTCTTGTTCTAATGCACAGGAAATACGAACTGGATGATTCCTTATTCAAACCCTGGCAAACCTAAAACTCGTTCACAGAAGCAACACAAGGAATTGATCCTCAATCGTCAGGAGTAACTAGTTCTGAATAAAGACTGTTTCCATGGGGAGTAAAAAGGGGAAGCAGAGCGAAAGACACACGGAAAACAAAAGAAAAAAGAAGTGCGCCCAGATCTTATGCATGTCAAGCCTCACAAGCTTCTTTCAGCGATGAAGGCTGTGCACATTCATCCATCATCTTAGAACAAAGGGGAAAATTGACGATCAGTGCCGGATACGTACTCCATAGTATCTATCTCTGGAGTGGATCAGTCAATGCTTTATGTTAAGGTCACTTATCGTGGCCCACCCAGCTGAACTTGTGGACAGGGGTGGTGGACTGATCTAGTTTTCTATTCAAATGTGGATAGAATAACCAGCTTCTCTTAACCATGCAAGGGGTTGGCGAAACTTCGAAGCTATCAAAAACTACCCAACTGTCCGGTTATAGTGGTCTTTTTCTTCAGCTTGCGCTTTGCGACGTCTACGTATCAGATAACGCCGCGGAGCAAAAATAAGCGTATCCGTGTACTGGCGGTTCAAAGACACCATTTAGTACAGTAGTTGAAAGAGGTAAAGCTTTAAATAGAACACAAAAGCGCTATTCACAATGCCCTACAAGTCGGCTCCCTTTGTCTCTTGCAAAAGCCAAACATGCTATCAAAACGTCAAAAGCTGCCAATATTAGCACTGATGTCCTTCTTCGGGTATAACGCCACGCTGCCGCATTTTGAACCTATAACCATCATCTCATTGTGCCTACTTTGCAAATATGAATTCAGCAGGAGCAAAAAGAGGTAAGAGGAGACGATTTGATCGGGGGTGACACATTTAGTATGCCTGTTGTGGTGGGACCATCCCTCCGTAACCTCCAGCCATTTGTTGCTGTTGCTGTTGTTGTTGTTGCTGCTGCTGCTGCTGCAACTGAGCCTGTAATTGAGGTAGGTCATGGAACCAAGGATGCTGCAGTGCGTCCGCTGCACTAATGCGCATCTCTGGCCGTAATTGAAGCATTCGATTCAGCAGATCGAGTCCGAGGGGGTCGATCTGAGGCAGAATAAGTCCCAGATCTTGTGTTGCATATACGTGGAAATTGGGTTTGTACTCCGGTAGCTGAGAGATACCGGGCCACGAACGCTCCGAAGGGGTGCCCATCAGGCGGAAGATCTTCTGCAGTTGGTCCTCGTTGGTCGTCCCGGGGAACAGAGGACGGCCGGTATACAATTCTGCCATGATACATCCGGCGGACCAGATATCAATGCTCGTGTTATACGTTCTGCTGCCCAGCAGCACGTCCGGAGCACGATACCACAGTGTCACCACTTCGTTGGAGAAGGTGTTGACAGGGATGCCGAAAGCACGGGCCAGGCCAAAGTCGCCCAACTTGAGCTGACCCTTCTTATTAATGAGGAGATTCTGAGGCTTGAGGTCTCGATGGAGAACCCGATTCTCATGACAAAAGGCGATGCCCTTGAGGAGCTGGTGCATGAATGACTTGATCGTGGCGTGGTCCAGCTGACCTCGGTCGCCTCGCGTATCCATATACTTCTTCAGATCCTTATCCATATACTCGAACACAAGCATGAGCTTGTTTTCCGTATGAATCACATCATAAAGTGAGACAATACTCTCATGCTTCAGTTCCTTCATCAACGAGATCTCTCGAATGGCTGTCGATGGTGTTCCTTCTTCCGAATCAAGGTGAATCTCCTTCAACGCTACCAGCTCGCCGGTCTGGCGGTTGCGTCCTTTAAAGACCTGCGAATATTGAGATTAATATCACTGCGAAGAATCGAATGAGATGCGCAGGCGGGGAAGCGGAAGGAGGATCGAACGTACTGTAGCATATGTACCTTCACCCAGCTAGAGACGAAGCAGAAGTTAGTACCGGCCTCCCTTTACAATATTCCATGCGGTTATAGAAGCAGTCTCACACACCTTTTCCAGCTGCTGGAAAGAGCTGGGTTGCTGCGACTTATCCATCGTCTGAGAAGAGATGGTACCTCTGGTTGTGACGGAAGTCTGTTGAGTCGAAGCTTTTGGGCGTTGGTTACTGAAAAGAAAGGATTTGGGAGACACAAGGGTAGATACAATTTCAGAAAAAGAAGAAGGGTTGGTGTACTCTGAACGAGAATCCCTTGCGGTTCTGGATGGGGTCCGATAGTCCATGCTCGGAGGTGATCTGATCGCAACTTGTTTGAACCAGCCCCGCGCGGCCTATCTTGGGATGGCAAATCGCGGGCGGTTGCTTATCCACCTGCGCGGCTCTATCAATAAGGTATCCAGCGCCAACTAACCAATCTTCCATCTATGTAATCGAACCTGAGAGGTTCTCACCATTTTAAGTAAACATCTTTTGAATGCGACGATTCGAAGGTGCTCTAGATAGTTCTGGTTCGGTTGTGCTATTCAACCGAAATGCTAATTATCTATCAGTCTATGCATATATGGACTTATTCTGAATATATACAGTGTACAGCGCATGCAGTTCACAGCTCTATACGTTCATCCGTAAATAAAGTTGGGAAGCAGCGACACCACAGGAGGAAGAATCGCCTCAGACGGAAAGCTGCAACGGACATGTGAGGATGAGACATCGCTACTTGGCCCAAATAAGACCGACTCATTCCTGACGCCTCCCAGATTGATTATGGCTATAGGCATCCCTCTCCTGTGGGCTCTCTCAACTAATCGCCATGCTGAATACGTAGCAAGACTGCTTCCTAGAATCAGTAGCCTCCCTGCATCATCGATGGCCTCTTCAGCGGCTGTTTTCACTCCAGGGTCAATATTTTCACCAAACATGACGACCGCAGGTTTCAGAATGCCAGCTGTAGACGAAGGGAGCCATGCCCCATCCTTTTCCACTTCTACCCTGGCCTGTGTGCCATCCTTCAGTCTTGGAGGGTTCTCCAAACAGGTAGGACAAGATGGGTACCTAAACGTGGAGTATGGAGCCTCAGCCAAGTCCACGTCACCATCTGGATTCAGCTTAAACCCCTTCCGTCTCTGTTCTTCAAGATTGTTCGTGTCGAGAGCTCCTGCCTCGACCATGCGGGTAAGAAACTCCGCCCAGGCGGGGTTGAGCCTCTCGAGTGACTTCTGAAACTCGGCGCGAGAGAATTGGTTTCGACAGCTAGTACAGACGACAGACTTCAAGTGGCCATGAAGCTCAATGGTCGGTAGCTCGGGATGCGCAATTGAGTGGAAGGAGTCAACATTCTGCGTCACAACGGAACTGACAAAGCCTTTGGCGCCGAGATCTCGGATGGCCCGGTGCGTCGAGTTGGGCTCAGCTTTCAACAACCCAGGCCACCCAACAAAGCTTCGAGCCCAGTACCTTTTGCGAGACTCATGTCGTGAAAGAAATTCGTGAAAATATATAGGCCTGTAGGATTTATTCGTGACGTAGGTGCCGTTCTCTCCTCGATAGTCGGATAGTCCAGACGCTACCGAAATACCAGCACCAGTCAAGAGAACAGCCTGCGAATGTCGGCCAACATCCACTCCGCGAAGATACGGGGATGGAGGAGCTGTGAAAAATGATAAGACGGCATTGATCGCTCCTGAAAGTGTACTTGCAGATGGCGGTACAATAATCGGTGGAGGCAGCGGACCGGTCAACGGTATACGGATCGAGGGTTTCGTCATTGAAGACGCATTGTTGGCTGAGGAAAGCTACGGAGATCGAAATGATCAGAAGTGTTTGACCTGTTGTGCTATCCAAATGGCTTAGTGAAGTATGGGCAGGTTTTACTTCCACGGCGACGGAATACCTTTATTATGGTAGAGCCGCGGATATGATGTAACATAAGTAAACTAACTAACTAACTTAAGTTAGTCCATCACTCCATAGTGACTAATCTTGATGTCACATGATGAGATTTGTCCAGTGTCCGAGCTGGTGTCAAACCTTTTGCTTGAATTGATAGAAAACTAGAGCTTGAAGTTTCTAGACGGAGGTGAATATTGATTTATAGATATACTATTGGAAAGCAAGCTTTCTACAAGAGTAAGTCCGACATCTGGTCTAGAGAACATAGTATGGGTCTGGATTTCCCCAGATATTAGCACGTGACTGATCCAGAGTAGAGTCTTCGAAACGTCACACCTTCATTCCCAGATAATATTCGAATTCGGCGTGCTGTTAACATTTCCTTGTCTTTTATAAGCAGTTCTGAGTCGTCTGAGCGAATTGGATTTTGGTCCAATTCCTCGCTTCGTCCTCTTTGGACATGTTTCCCTCCCAAGCTGGCAATCTAGATCTAGATGCTCTGAGCGGTATTTGCGGGTATGATTCTAAGCTCTTTGATGTAACGAGACGAGAGGATTGGTGGGGGAGGAACGACATCGAGGAGGAATTAGTGTTCTTACAGTTGATCACTGACTGGCGCATATAGGTCAATTTCCATTGCCTGCTGGGTTGTGGTTTTCTCACCGCAGATCATTGAGAATTTCCGTCGCGGCTCTGCTGATGGACTCTCTTTACTCTTTCTCGTGGTCTGGCTAGCAGGGGATGTTTTCAACATCCTTGGTGCCGTCCTTCAGGGCGTGCTACCTACAATGATCATCCTCGCCGTCTACTACACCCTTGCAGACATTGTTCTTTTGGGCCAATGCTTCTACTACCGGGGATTCACGCTGCGGGATGAACTGTCCAGTCCCACTCCTCCCGCAGAGATCAACACTGAAGATGAGCCTTCGCAGGCTAGAAAGGCAACAGAGCGTACCTCTCTACTTCCTCCCAAGTCTAACGGCCACTCACATCACGTCCAAGCACAAGAGCCTCACTATCAGTCAGGCCAGGCGGGCCCAGCAGCAACAACTACACAAGTGCGGCCGTTACCATCGCATTCGGACCATCGGCGACACTCTGCAACATCCTTTCGGGAGATTATCCATCCGAACGTCGACGGGACACATCTGTCACCCGCAACACCCTTCATTGAACCGACTTCTAAGAAAAATTTGTCTGCTCGACGCATTTCCACTCTTCAGACTGTCCTTTTTAACTTGACCACAATTGCACTTGTCTGCGCTGCAGGAGTCCTGGGCTGGTATGTCAGCCCTAGCTCTTCCAAGAACGAGGAATCAGACTTGCCTGGAGATGACCGCGATTCATCCTCTCTTACTTTCGACACCCTAGGCCAGGTGTTTGGCTATCTATGCGCCGCCCTGTACCTTGGCTCACGCCTGCCACAGATTCTTCTCAACTACCGGCGCAAATCTACGGAAGGGGTTTCCCTGCTATTTTTCCTCTTCGCATGTATCGGCAACCTGACCTACGTACTGTCTATCCTTGCTTATTCCCCAGTCTGCAAGCGACACTCTCGCCACTCTCACGACTGTCGCCCCGGAGAAGCCGCTGCGCTCTACGGCCGATATGTGCTTGTTAATCTGTCGTGGTTGATAGGGAGCTTTGGGACTCTCTTGCTTGACATGTGTATTTTCATTCAATTTTTCTTGTACAAAGAAAACGGAGACGGCATAGATGAGATAAGTGCCCGTGACTGATTGAGCGACTGACAGCGATACAAGTTGGGAATGGATGGAAAAAAGGCGCTTGTGTGGAAATCTTCCCTAGGAGTTCCGCCGGTTGGTTTACTGATTATGATACTCTGTTCGCAAAATGTATATATAGGCGAGAAAGAAGAGAAGGTTGTCATAAAATTCGTTAGAAAGGTATCTCTTCTTCATATTATAGCTATGCAATGAATTTCCATAAAGGACGACACCCGAAGCAAAACACCCGCTAGATGCAATGCGTACCCAATCGTAATGCTGTCAACGCATTTCCCTCCCAGACGGTCTACTGGAAACATGAATCAGGTGAATTAACCCTAGATATGAGCATAATCAACCTAGTCGCTGGGTGGCCGTGCTTCCACTTTGCCTTGGCTGACTTCCTTCCAGTTGGTGCTCAAAGACGTGCCCTGGCTCTCCACGTAACTCTTCACCATGGCCCGACGGGTGTCCGGGTCCGCGTTGGCATACAGTTTCTTAAAGAAAGCATCCACTGGATCGCCAGTGCCGTAGTCAGAGTCGATGGAATCCGCGCCATCGGATTCATCGCCACTGTCATCACCAGCTTTTGCATCATTTTCCGCGTTCCGCTCCTTATCCTTGTCTTTTGACTTCTTCGCTGTCAGCGTGGATGCGACTTTATCCCAATCTTTAGCGCCGCGGCGAGATGAGGTTGGGTAGGAAGGCCCGCTTTCGGCTGCGGGGGTTGCTCCTACAATGGCCTGTCGATCAGCAAGTTTAGCGCTTGACGACGACGCTTCTAATGCGCCCCATTTCTGGCCCGCTGTCTTTTTGCGTAGGACGAGTTCAATCTTTGTTGACATCACAGAAACCTTTGATGCAGATGGATCAATCGGAGCGAACAGAGGATCCAGAGTAAAAGCGTAGTCCGCGCCGGACGGGAGCGGGAATTGAATGGCAGCCTGTAACGGCTCACAGTCAGCTCCGGATCAATAACATGAGATTTGGGTGAAAGAAAGGGTCACTTGAAATCCACATACCGATTCATCCTTAAGCTCGGTGTCAACGCTGTCCTTGGGCACTCCCTTAACGTAAAGGGTGACGACAACCGAGTCATGAGACTGATACCACTCGTGCCGAACCTTTTCTGTTGAGGGACCAGTGGGTGGTGAAGTGGTGGACATCGCGGGTGGAGCCTTGCCTATTGTGGCCTGGCTCTCTGTTGTAGGAGTGTATGTTTTTGTAGAATCTGTGGCCTTGTCGTCCGCTGAGGTGGTCTGTGTCTGAGCACTTCCCTCCTCGACTTTACCAGCCTTGAAAGCATCGAGTTGCGCCTTGAGATCCTTTTCAGATGGAATCGATACACCCTTGGGGAACTCTTCAATGGTGACCCTTGCTTTCTCGTCGCCCTCGGCCAGCTTGCTCAGCTTTCCCTTAACTTTCAATGTCCAAATGGGGAGCTCCTGCTCATAGCCTTTCTTGGCGGAGGAACGCACAGCACCACCACCAGCCATCGCATCCTTCACTTTCTCCGATCTATCTTGACCTTCTGTAGTTGTGCCAATCTTGTCCTGGATGGTGCTGAACACGAAGGCTGCGTCGCCGTATCGCTCAAGCTGATACAGGACGATGCCGCGTCTCATCTGTGCAGACAGTATAAGCTCGCGTTTCGCTCGTTCTCGAGCAAGCGTAAGCGCGATTTCAGCATCTTGAAGCGCGGCCTGGAAGTTGGGACCTCCGTCTGCGGGCTTGAGCCGTGAAAACGCAGTCGACCTCTTGATATAGTAGGCTGGGGCGCGGGGTAGCTCTGTCAGGGCTTGGGTAAAGTACCGGATGGCAGTGGGACAGTCAGAGTTGGCTAGGGCCTTGTCACCCTCTGCCGCCGCGTTCATTCTGTTGTTCGTCTAAAGCTATTGCTATTATTCTCGCTTTGAAGATTCTCCGCACTTAGCTTAGAAGACGGCTATGTTGCCGAAAGTTATTCCTGAGTAGACACTAGAGGTCGCCTCAGCTGGTGACCGGAAATTGACTATATGGAAATATTCTCGTATAAGGGAGCCCACTCTCAAAAAATGGGAAAAGCATAGCTTATCTATAGCTCTTTCTCGGTAGCTTGTTGGTTCTATGACTTTCTTCGGAGACTGCGGGGAGCACACGTGATGGAATTAGCCTGATCAGGCAACGCATCCATACAAATCCGTTCAGCATAAGGTAGGTATTATTATTATTAGGCTAAGCACTCCATTTTAGTACAGACAGCAAACATTGCTGATTCATTAGACAGTATGTCGTATATGGTACATATGGTACACCCTGGAGACAGCCAGGTGTATGAAGGATTCGTCCTGAAGGCACGTCTCAAATTCGCCTCACATCAGTTCTTCGTTGCCGAACTTGCGGCTATAAAGACCCAGAGCTCGAATGGGCCAGTAGAACTTGTAGTTGGGATACGAAATCATGCTAGACCTGGGTCAGCTATTGACAGGGAGAATGAGTTTGCAAACAGAGATACTTACCAAGATTGGTTGAAAACGCCCTCAATGGATTCTTGCAACCACTCCCCGTTTGGTTGCTGCCGTGACATGAGCAGCTTCATGGCTTTCTGCAGTGGCTCCTTGTGTGGATATTCCGCCTCCATTAGTGCAAGACAAGCCCAAGCAGTTTGCGCCACTTGGGACTTTTCATGTTGAACGTACACATGCTTTTCACTGCTGAGATAGGATTCACCCCATCCTCCATCCTCCTTTTGCTTGGAGAGGAGGAACTCGCAGCCACGGCGCGCATACTCGCTGGTCTCGTAGGTTTCCCCGACACTGGTGAGGCTTTCTAGGGCAAACATGGCAGCATAGGTGAAGCAGATTCCCCAAGATCCGTACCAGCTTCCATCCGGTCTCTGCACGCGTTTGATATATTTCACAGCTTTGTCTTTCGCGGCCTTGATCTCGCCGGCCCGGTAGTCAGGGTAAAATCTGCTGAAAAGCGAAAGCGCGGTGACAGAAGCGGTGGTACATTCGGGATAGTCATAACCGATCATGATTCCGCCAAACACTTCCGCGGCATTGAGCCACTCCAGCTTCTCGGAGCCACGGGTAGTTTCGTACTCAGTGAATCCACCAGAGGGATTTTGCATCAGAAGTAAGCAGTCGACACTGTCTTTTAGTCGCTCCACGGAGATCAGCTTTGGATAGTTGTGCATCTCCTGTAGTTGGATTGTGGACCGCAAGCCCTCCGCTGTGCAATCACTAACTGTATAGCCTTGTGTCTTGTTACTGAACGGCCACGCGCCTTTTCGGTGTTGACGGTAACACTTTTCTTGATCGGGGACGTTCTCCCGAAGCTGATGGTCTTCAAGGAACTCCAATGCTTTGGTGAGCATTGGTCGCCACTTGGGGTCATCTGCGAAACCGGCAACGACAATTGCTTGCGTTATGAAAGCGGTATCCCACACTTGGACTCCGTTGGTTCCATTCATCAACATGCCTTCATTCTTCATCCACATGTAATCATTCAGACGCTCACGATGGCGACGAACTGAATAGCTGTCTGGCCCATCATGGAGATAGCAAGCTACCATGTTCATCGGGCTGCTCACAGGGCCCAAGCCTGCATAGTCCGTATTCTCGTCTTCCATTCTAATCAACTCCCAGGTCCAGTCCTCTGCGCGTTTTACCAACGCAGAAATTCGGAGATAGGGATTCCACACAGAGACAAGAAGTTGGTTGATCAGGTTTAAAAGCCAAGTCTTGGGATAGTAATTATCGGCTTCATGGATCGAGTTCCGGTGACTTGCAAAGTTGATAGAGTCGTAAGGCTGAGTGTACAGCTCCTGACGCAACTGTTTCGTGAGCGGGTCCAGAGGATGGGTGAATTTCTTGGACCATAGGTACGACATGGGCAAGAACACTTGACGTATATGGATCCACCACCGCCAAGGTGCAAAGGGAACCCAATCCGGAAGCAGCCTATACCATTGTTAGGCTCTTGTTGATATTTTACAAGAGAATGTGCAGATGTAATGGAACGTACCAAAGCTCAGGCGGGACAGGATTGACGCACTCCCATTCCATGACACCGAGGACACTGAGCCAAAATTTCGCCCAGTGAGGGCCATATACGGCACCGCCGAACTTATGTAAGAGCCCACGGGCTTTGATCATACGAGGGTCGTCTTCGCTGACACCGATCAAGCGCAACGCCACGTAGTTCATGCAAGTTCCAAAGACAGAGCTATGTGCCTCAATGTGCAAGCCCCAGCCGCCGTCCTCCGGGTGCTGACGAGCAAAGAGATACCTTTTGATCTCAGTCGCATACTCCGGCGGGATCGGAGTGTTGGTCACGTAGTACGTGATTATGAGGCCAGGGAGCAAGAACATTGGGCCTCCGTACTCACAGGCCCAATTGCCTGGAGGAAGTTGCAATTTGGAGAAAAATTCCAAGCCATTCTCGGCACATTGCAGTGGAGTTTTTGCTTTCGGCAGCTCTGGAAGTCCCTGCGGTAGAATAGTCAGTTATGTGTATGGCAAACATGCGGTTCGTGGCGGCAGGGGCGAGTGGTGTTACCGTAGGGAGCCCCAGAAAATGCTTGTCAGCGACAGATTGAGGCCATTTCTCGTTTTCTTCATCGGATTCCAAATAATGCCAGGTCTGACGGCCCCGATCATCTAACAATCTCCATCTTGAATAGTCTGTTTTGAGGTCTCCGTTCTCGTCGGGACTCAAGTGACCCTGAGCTGCAGTTCTCCACGAGGCAACTGGGCCTCCCGTCATTATTTGGTTCGGAGAACTCCCAATTCTAAATATACCGTAAAAGCTGAGGTCTATTTTATTACTTGGTCAACCGATGAATGTGCGAACGATGAACAGGGGAAATAATGAAAAAAGGGCACCAATGATTAAGAGCAGATCACTTGTAGATCCGGGATGTTGATATGCATGTGCTTAGTCATCAGGGGCACAACTTAACTAACTAGTTAATTATACGCATCAGGCAACACAAGCAAATCATTGCTCCATCTGTATATTAGGGATGGGAATTATGGATGAAACAGAAACTAGGGCTTTTGTAGACAGACTAAAGTGTGTAGAGGTCGTTTAGACAGACTTGATCAGACAAAATGGGACTTATCATAGCATCAGCCAGGATTCCTGGGCATAGTAAAGGCCATGAGGCCTCCGAGTCCCTTCACTGCTGTTTCGACTACATAGTCACTTGACTCCTGCTCATCAACCCTTCTCCTCAATGTATCGACACGTAGTAGTCGACAATGAGCTAACCGCTAGCAATGGAGAACGCACCGGACAATGCTGGATCGAGCTCAGCTAGACTGTTCACGAACCAGGAGCAGTCCCAGAAAGAGAGAGCTCAGACGTTTATTGACAATACACTCATAGAGATCCTCGATGAGCTACGGACGCCAGACGGTCGACCAACCCTGACTTTGAAACGGAGATCCAGAGGAGTTCCCTTTTCCATAAATCCCGAAAACCTTGCTCTAGAGACTGAGGAGAAAGAAATACTATCATCCTACAGCTGGCCGGGTAGGAATGCTTATGAGGCTTGGAAGTTTAGTACGAAACTTCTTTTCCCTTTGAAAATCTAGATCAAACTAAAGTTGTTAGCTGCCATCATCCGAGGAATATCAGTTATCGCGGAGGCAATCCAAGCTGGTCTGGTAGTTTCCAAAAGGTTTCAATTATCTGAAAATAAGGTAAAGCCTCGAGCGCTGGCTGATTGAGCAACAGAGACATCTATTACAGCGATCCAGCTTGTTTCGGTTCTCAGCAAATCGTTGACACGATAATTGATGACATTGCTCATACGATTGGGGTTGATAGAGCGGCGTTGAACGTGGTAATACACTTAGATCAACTCTTTGACTCGAATGTTCAGCTAACATCAGATGGCGCAGGAAGCGGTAGCCAAAGGGCTTGTTGCGGGATATTATCGTCTGATGACCAAAGCTGGCGAAGTGGTGGACGCCCGCTTATCAACTAAGGTAGTCCACAATATTCACACTTCTTCCCGGGGATAACAATGATGATGAGGTGAGCTAGGATGTCCTGATACCGAAAATGGAAGACATTGAAGCAATTGATGCCTCCGAGGTGAAATGGGTCTTGATCCTGGAAAAAGAAGTAAGAGAGGATATATCACCATGTATCTCCCGCTGCGCACAGTGCGGTAACATCTCATTCCCAGGCAGTCTACCGTCGACTCTCGAGAAGCAGCTACCACACTAGAGCAGCCGCAGGAAAAGGTGTATTGGTAACAGTAAGTTCCCAATGCTAGAGCCACGGGTTAGAAACCGACGGTGAAACACAGGGAAAAGGCTATCCGGACCTCAGCACGCGAGCCTTTGTTCGAAGACTGCTTGATGAGACTAGACATCTCCCCGCAGAGGAATCCCCGCGCTTTTACGCCCTCGTCGACAGTGATCCTGATGGCATGGCAATCATGTCAACATATAAATATGGCTCGATGGCGCATGCGCGCGACAACGAGAAGCTCAACGTTTCCAAGCTTCGCTGGCTGGGACTCCGAACATCTGATGTCATTGGAGGTGCAGACTCATTCGGGGACGAGGCTTTCATTCGCCTGAGCCTGAGAGACAGAAAGAAGGCTGTTGCAATGCTGTCGAACAATCCCGTGTGGGCAGAAGATGGGCCAGAGCAGGAATGGCGCGCAGAGCTGCAGCAGATGCTCATGTTGAACTTGAAGGCGGAGATTGAGATTCTCTACGATCGGCAGGAAGGACTTGAAGGGTGGATCGATAAGAAGATGACCATTTCAAGCTGATACATCGGGACAACGGATTGTCGCTTCGAAGCCGAAGTTATAAAAGTTTTCGATTGACAATTGATGGAACGTAGAGGAGACAAGAGGAAACAAGAGGTCTATTCCGCGTCCTGTTACATAATAAGAACAAATATTAAGCCGAAAGCGACATGCAGAGTGATATAAATGATCGAAAAGAAAAGTAAGACATCGGGAACACACCAGAAACGCCATTTATCCGACCCAATCTCGTAACCGCGTAAGCTTCGATGCTGGAAGTGCCACATGTAGACAAACTCGTAGCATGAGTATGGCTCACGGCTTATGTACAGCTCCAGGAATAAATACCTAATATATCCATCCAGCGCGTCCGCGTGTGGTTCCCTACAGACCCAAGCCCTTCCTGACCTCATCACGAACCTTCCGCTCATACTCGCTTCTGCGTTCTCTCCACATTTTTGCCGCTTCGACGTTAGCAGGGCTTTCGTCATTGGGTTCTGCCAGCATGCTCATGACGGAGATCAGGATTTTCTCCACACTCTGAATGGGCGACCACCGCTCGGATGCATGCTCGTAATGGTTCGGATCGTCGCCGGGAGGATGAAGAATGGATATGCAGACAGTTCCGTTGGGATAGACTTTTAGGAGGATATGTCAGTCACCGCATGAACTTGATGTTAAGTGAAAGGAAGAAGAGGCACGTTATCCCTCACCATTCGGATGCCACACCCCACCACCGACAAATTTCATTGTTGGCGGACTCAGCGGGTAATCTTTGGGAAATTTGAGCTCTGCTGCAAAAACGCCCCCTTCGTACGGTGTACCCTCAGGGCCTTGAATCAAGGCCTCCCAGTGAAACATATCATCCTCGCTGACTGGACCGGCAGTGATGCCCTCGGGAGGGTTGGTTGATAAGTTCTTATACTCGTGAAAGAGACGCTTCTGTGCGACGGACGACATTGTGTAACCGGAGATCCAAAATTGGAGGAAAGTGAGCGAGCAGACTTAGAGGCGTAGCGACAAAGAGAAGGAAAAGCGCTGAGTTTGTAGAATAACCGAAGTCGTGGAAGTGGGCTGCGGAGAAGAGGTGATCGGTGTGGGGTACTTGGATCCCGGTTCCCCAAAAGTGGACGCTATCTGAATGATTTGAAGGAAGTTAAGCCTGCAAAGAGTAGAGGGAGGCTCTAGAGATGGAAGATCAGGGGACGGATGGGGATGCTGCCGGAGGATATTGGCCCAAGTACTTAATAGCTGACGACGGAAATGGAAACGGGGTTTTGCCAGTTGCCACCCGGCAAGATTTCACTGTGGCTTTCCCCGAGGATCGGCCCGCAAGGACAGAAGACCGATCATAAGCTTAATATAAGTCGCTGATGCTGCAAGTAATGAAAGGACACAATAAGAGGGCTTGACAGTCTCACATTGAAATAATATCTAGTTATAATACATTATTAATGTACATGCGGCGCTCTAATCTATATGGAGAATGATCTCCAGAGATCTCATTGTTTATGAGAACCAACAGAAATATGCAGGTACAACATATGCCAGGGGTATAATCTTCTCGCAATCATCAAAACCAGTCATTGTCCCCTTCTTCACCCTCATCATCTGGCTCCTCGATGTTCCAGGGATCTTCAGGCGCGCGAGCAAAAGGATCCTCTTGCTCCTCGGCCCATACATCCCCGTAAGGACCTGCTTGACCGGGAACCGATGATTGCTGGTCTGCCGAGTATGGCTGCTGCTCGGGTGGGGGAGGATGTTGTGGATTGCTGTCTCCTGCCATGCCTCTTGACAACGCATCGTAACCAGCCATCGCACCCGCACCAGCAGCTCCTGCAGCAGCACCTTCAGCAATTCCTCCAGCGGCGCCAGCCCTGCCAATGGTGCCCGCGGCCGCCTCACCTACAGCTCCTGCTTCGCCAGCAGCGGCACCACCGGCAGCAGCACCACCGGCAGCGGCCTCTCCGCCAATGCCGGGGAACCAGATGGGCATGAAGCCAAAACCGCCAGCACCACTGTGACGACTAAAGTAATCGAAGTCAATACTGACCGCAGTGGCCAGCATTACTGCCCGTTGATCCAGCGTCATTCCTGTTGGCGCGTTTGTTCGTGTGGTCAAATCCTCGGAACCAAGAGCCGCAGAATCCATGCGAAGAGCATAGACACCTGTGTCCGTGAACAGTTCCCGCGCGAAGCCAACGAAATTTCGATTGACTGAGCCAATGAGTCGGTTGTCTGCCGAGCGTAGAGAGAAGTCCCATGACAAGAAGGGCTCATCGACATAGGCGAACTGATGGTATTCCCCAACATCTTGACCGCTGTCATTAGTCTGCGTCAATTGCATCTGCTGCGAGTTTGATAACCCCGTTTGCGAAAGAGGCAATCTCTGAGTTCCCATCTCTGTGGCGCCAAGAGGGGAGTGATGATAGGTGAAAAGGTTGTATTTCCGCCGCAACGGCGCCCACTGCTGCTGTGCTTCTCCAATCACACGCATATCCTCTAATCCCAAAGGCGAGACGCGTGCATTTGAGCCCCCCGTAGCTTGGACAAGTGACCCTGAAGATGCAGTCTGGACTGCGGTTGAAGACGAGAAGGCGCTTTTGGCAACATCAAGAGGGTCGTACACCCGAATGCGAGAGTTAATCCAAGAGAAGGGGCGGTGGAACTGAAAAGCGTTAGAAGTCTCATTCCTGGACCAATTTCACAAATGGATATAGACATACTCGGAGCACCTCGTTTTCGTGCCGATCAAACACATGCGTCACAAAACTTCGGTGTGTTCGAAACCACTGTCGCGCCATCATATTTGCCATGCCCTTTTCTTGTTCGGCCATATACCCGATATGGTTTCCATTTGCATCCATGATGACGTATTTGTTCGCCTGTTCGAATCCGCTGCGAATCGCTAGTTAGCTTTGACTTTGACATGACCTTTCCCTGCGGTATATGAGGCTGCATACATCATCACATTCATCAATTCAAGCTGTCTTTGTATAACCAAACCAGAATTTGCCAATATCCCCATGGCTGGATGTGTCTCTTTGAGGACGCCATTGGGATCTTTTGGTATATGAACGGGAGAAAGTAAGGTGTTCTGGGCGGGGTCGTAGTTTGGAGTTGGCCTGTTCGGTTCCGTAGTTGTTGGTTCAAATTGTTGTGGTGAGAGTGCTCCTCTGTTATGTGCTACGGGCCTTAATCTCCGTGTCACATCTCGAGGGACTGGAGGGCTCCGACGTCCTCTAGTGAATGAGCTCGCGAATGCACGACCAGGCGCTGCCACCGACCCTGTGAGAGGTGTCCGTATTCTTGAGCTCCACATAAAGGTGGTCACTCGAGGGGTGTGAATGAATAAATTTGACGTATGGTGGTTTCTTGAGGGCTAAGTAAATCCGTCTGTAACTTCCGCAAATGAAGACGAACACCTTTAGCAGCTCTCGAGGAAAAAGGTGGAAGAAATGTCGAGCTGTGGCGGAGCAAAGAAGAATGACGAAGTTCCATTGTACACTCGTACCGCACGGGATTAAGCGGAGATAACAGGCCGCGCAGAAGAAACCATAAGAGGCGAAGAGTCAACAAGTGTCATGATATAATATACGCTTGGACATCATGAATCCTACAAGGCCTGATGAGTCTGAGACTCATTGCAATTCTGTAGAGACACAGTTTATTGTTCTCGCAAGACCGGAATGTGTCGCAGTACTGACCGAGCTCATCATAGTTCTACATCGGGGCCGGTGAAACGAATGGATGGGAACGTTTGGATTGAGACTGAATATACGTACAGCATAAAGTCTCGCTCAAGAAACAACTTTTCGCCTGCTGTTGATGCCCTACTCGATTCGTATGATTACAATAGACCTTTCCTAGCCAACTCAATCTTCCGCGCCGCCTCCCCGGGCTTGTAGCCTCCTTTCGAGATGCAGACAGCACTTCCTTCGCCTAATTCGACCTTATCTTCGACACTTGGATGCGCACATGGGCAATGATGAGGAAAGTCAACGCATGCGAGCGTCCCCGGACAGAGATATTTGTTGCAGTTGGCTGGTAAAGCGGCACAACGAAGGCGTTAGCTATTGTGTCCACAATTTTTGATTGAGAGGCAAGATCCTCTGCGACAACTCACTTCCTTCCCATAGCTGTTGGTATCTTGCACTGTCGCTGGCAGAATTTTGTGTGTTTTGTTGATGGTGTTCTTGATGACCACCTCCAAACATGTGCTCGAAGAACTGGAATTGCGCCTGCGCGACGGAGGCCAGAAGGAGTAGAGCCCCGAGGCATCTAACCCAGCTAGAAAGCATGGTGTTGGTTACTTATTATAAAGAGTTAGTTGATATATATGGAGAAGAAATGAAATATAAAAGATTCAGTGACTGATAGCTGAATCGACAACAAACCATAGTCCCTTGAAGCCAGCTATCTCAATGGCACGTGACTCTCCGCCAAGATTATAGGAAAAAGTCGCGGATTTCCACCTGTGATGAGCTTCCGCAGTCCTCGCCGGTTGGGCAATTGGAGTGACACCACTTTCCGTGCAGACGATAATGTTACAACCCAGACTGTTAGCGCCCTTCCGGGCGCTGGAACGCACATTTGCTTCTTCCCTCCGCTCGTCGCAGGCGATACACCACCCGCCTCGATCTTCGCTACTCTTCCAACGGACCCCCATCTCCGCACCGTCTCCGATCTCGAAATTCCTCCTCCCTCTCTGTCATGTCCGTCACGCCTCTCACGCCACTCAGGGTACTGCAAACAGACACTCCCGTGATCCTGCTGGGAAGCGGCTCGGCGCGAAGAAAACCGGTGGTGAATATGTTGTCCCCGGCTGCATTATCTTCCGACAGCGCGGAACGAAGTGGTTCCCCGGCGAGAACTGTGCGATGGGCAGAGATCACACCATCTACGCTACAGAGGCTGGCTATGTGAGATATTACCTCGATCCTGAGCGGCATCCGGACCGGAAGTACATTGGTGTCTGCTTCGAGAAGGAGGGAAAGCTGCCCACACCCCGGAACGCCCCG